CGTGCGGGGGCCCAGCGCAAGCGGGCAGGCGGGCAGGCGGGCAGGCGGCAGGCGGCAGGCCGGCCAGGAAGAGAGGCAACGGCGACTTGGCAGCGGGTGGCAACGGCAGGCCCGGGCGGGCAGGCGGGCAGGCGGGCAGGCGGGCAGGCGGGCACCGAGCCTCAGAGGAAGGCAGGCGGGCAGGCGGGCGGGCAGGCCAGGCCAGGCCAGGCCAGAGTGGAAATTTGCCGGGCCCCGCCCGCTCGCCCGCCCGCTCGCCACCTCTCGGCCTCTTTCCGTCCGTCGTTTTCTTCCAGCCGGCTCTCTGCCCCGCCCGCCCAATCCTAGCATTTGGCAGCTGTGCCTCTGCCACATGCATGCCTACAGCTCGTGCGTGCGTCGTCCGCCTGCCTGTCGACTCAAAACGGCGGCCAAGAAGCAAGCAGCCCAAAACGAGCAGGCAGGGAAGAGGCCGAGAGGCACGCACGCAGCCAGGCAAGAAGGAAGCTAAGCAAGCAACGACGGCCAGCCACAGCAGGCAGGCCTGGCAGTCCGGCCGGCCCCGCAGGCACGGGCCGCCCTCGCCTCGCCTCGCCTCGCCTTCCCCGCTTTCAAAACTCGCATCGAGGCTGGAGGGACCTCTGACTGCTCGCCGCTTTGCCTGCTCTTCTGCGGCCTCACCCTTCGACCACCACCGCCCATCACCTTATTCTCCTTCTTCCTCGCCGCCGCCATCGCTACCATGTCGTCCAACACCGCTGCCGCCACCGCCACCGCCGCTTCGCCCGCGCGCAAGCCGCTGGTGGGCGTGTCGTTCAAGATGTACTTTGACCTGCCCAAGACGCAGGCCTACATCAACCACACCCTCTCGCTGCTGGCCTCGGCGCTCCCCACGCTCCAGCGCCAGACCGACGTCTTTGTCATCCCCGACTTTGTCACGCTCACCACCACAAAGGCGCTCATCGACGCCGCGTCGCCGCCCCAGGGCCCGCCGCTGCTCGACCTCGGCGCGCAGGACGTCCACTCGACCGACTTCGGCGCCTACACCGGCGAGGTCTCGCCCGTCGTCCTCTCCCAGGTCGGCGTGCGATTCGTCGAGATCGGCCACGCCGAGCGCCGCAGGCTGTTTGGCGAGACCGACGACGACGTCGCCAAAAAGGCCAGCGTCATCACCGCCAACGCCATGGTCCCGCTCGTCTGCATCGGCGAAGTGTCGCGCCCGGACAACGAGGCCTCGATCTCGGACCAAGACCTCGAGCGCACCGTCATCGCCGAGGTGTGGACGCAGATCAGGCCCGTCCTCGAGTCGATCCGCGACCAGGACGACGTCGTCTTCGCCTACGAACCCGTATGGGCCATCGGCGCCGCCCAGCCCGCGCCCGCAGACTACGTCGTCAAGGTGACCCAGGCCATCCGCCGCCGCTACAACCGCGAGTACGCCGGCCGCCGCTCCGACCAGAGCATGCGCATCCTCTACGGCGGCAGCGCCGGGCCAGGCCTGTTTGAAAAGCTCAAGGACGGCGTAGAGGGCCTCTTCCTCGGCCGGTTCGCCCACAAGCCCGAAGCGTTCGTCGAGACCATCAAGGAGATTGCCGGCGTAAAGGCCGACGCATGAGGTCGGCGGCCGTCGCCGTCTTCGCTCTTCTCGTCCCTCGCACCCTGCCCTCCCTCTGTCGCCCCTGTCACGGTCCCCATCCCCTCTTGTCCATCTTTCCCTCGTCGCCGGATCCACCGCATAGACACAGCATCGCATCCGCGCATCCTCGCCTTGTTGGAGCTCGCCTGCCCGTCCGCCCGTCCGTCTTGTGTTCCGAGAATGTCAATTGCCGCCCGAGATGGCACACAAAGAGGCGTGCACAGCGGTGCGAGGGACCCAGGCGGTCAGGCGGTCAGAGGCGTGTTTCGATTGCACCGGAAGCAGTCGGGCGTGAGGATTCGACATGTCGGTGCCGCGTCCTAGGGCTCCTTGACGGTCATATCGCCGTCTTTGAACTGCTTGGCCCACTGCGCGGCGTAGGTCGCGTCGGCGTGGACAGCAGGAAAACAAGCGTGCAAGTGGCAGCGGTCAGCGTGTCGGTCCGGCTGCATCCCGCATCGACGCGGCGGCGGACGTCGGATCGGCACTCACAGCCATGGACGGGATGGGCTTTGTTGGTGGGTTGTGTCGCCACTGTTTCGATGGTTGCGTCGGAGTGCACGACAACCAGAGGGATGAAAGAAGGGGATCGAGATTAGCATGGCCCTCGAGAACAAGCCCAACATCCTGTGCTCATCCCGGCAGAGGTGGGAAAGAAAGAAAGAGAGAGGGGAGTCCTGTACGCACCTCGCGGTCAGCGCTGTAGGTCCATACTCCGTACGTGGCGACGGCGATGCCGACGGCGCAGACGGTCGTGTTCGACACCCAGTTCTTGGGGCTACGTAGGGCGAGGGTGGAGAGGGAGGCGAGAGAGGGGAAGGAGCGGGTCAGAACGAGCTGCCCAGCCTGGCGCAACAAGACCGCTGCGAGGAACTGAAGACACTCACCGCGTCCACCAGCCACCTGTTTGAATGAGCAAAGAATGCGATACGGCGGAGAAGGGGGCACAGGTGGTGTCAGCAAGGGTCGGGGCGAGCAAGTGTGCCGACCATTCACAGGTGGCCGTGTTGGACCAAACACCGATCAACGTCGTGCCCCTTCGACCAGCGTCCATCCTATCCCTTGGTGGTCATCGTGCTCGTGACGTTCCACGGAGAGCCAGCAATGCATTCCACTGCTTTGCCCGGCTGCCGGCGAGGCAGACGCCACGGCGAGAAGCTTGTCCAGCGCAGATTGGATCCTCGTCACAGCCTGATCGATGCGTCGATTCGTCGATGGACCGTAGTGCACCAGCGTCGGATGCTCACCTGCGGGCGACCACACCTCCTTGGGGTAAGGGAATCTCGGACCGGCGCCCTGGAAGCAACGAGGAGGGGGAGGACGAGCGAGCGAGGGTCAGTGGACTGGTGGCTGAGGCGAGGCAGCAGATCGTGGCGCGGCGGCACACGGCTCGGCGCTGCGGCTTGCACGAGGGCATCTTAGCGGCAAATCACCATTGTTGCGTGTGTATGTGAGAGAGAGGCGCTGAAGGGGTGGCGGATAGAGCGCGGGTGTCGATGCGGGGAGAGGGCGAAAGGTGGAGAGCACAGGATGGAAGCGTCGGAGAGGTCGAAGTGCCGCGGCCGCCGCGCCGTCGCTGGCCGCCGCGCTGCGAAAGTGGAATCACTGCCCTCGGCTCCGCCAGCTTGGGCCGGCCCAGGTCGGCCCCGCCTAGCGGTCTTTGTTTTTTCTCGCACGACAAGAGCTCGACGCCCGCCTGCTTGGCTAGGCCAGGCCAGGCCCTGCTCGCTCGGTCCACCTGGCTGGGCTGGCTTGGCGGGCTAGCTGGGGCTGGCTGGCTGGCTGGCTGGAAGCAACGGTGGGGTCTGCGTTGGGGCCACAGGCGCAACCTCCTCGAGCATCGCTTCCACCTTCGCCTCGCCCACCATCCGACGTCCTGTCTTCACTTACCAAGCGCACCAGACGGCAGCAAAAGATGGCCACCTACCCGCTCGACGCTCCGCTCGTCGGCGACCCCGACACCAACCCGCGTACGGCGCTCCAGTGGCTCGCAAAGCAGCGGCAGTGAGTGCCGTACCTCTCCTGCTGCGCTCGCCAAGGGCGCCGACCCAGGCAGCATAGAAACCTCAGCTGATGCCTTCGACCTCTGGCACTCGCCCTCGTCCTCGCCCCCCGCCCACTGCTCACTGTGCCAACCTCCTCGCCAGCGAGCCGACAAGACAGCCCTACAACGTCGTGCAGCGTGGCGAGCTCGTCCTCTCGCAGTCGTCGCTCGTCTCGTCGCTCTCCCAGGACGAGCTGTGGGCCTTTCTCGAGCAGGTCGGCGCCGCCGCCATCGAGCTAGGACGCTGGGAGCTCGCCGAGCCCTGCCTCTCGCGCCTCCAGTCCCGCTTCCCCGCTTCGGCAAGGGTCAAGTGCCTCCATGGCATGCTCCTCGAGGGCAAGGGCGAGTACAGCCGGGCGCTCGACTTTTATGAGGCTGAGCTCGAGCAAGACGGTACCTCGGTGGTGAGCTTCGCCCGGTCGCTCCTCTTGATTCTTTGGATGCCCCTTGCTCACCCGAAGCTCTCGTCCATCACCCGGACTCCATCTCGCCCCACTTTCCCTATGCCTCGGGACGACACCCTCCCTCCGCAGACGCTTTCCAGACGGCTCGTGGCGACACTGCGAGCGCTCCCCACCTCTCACCCGAGGGGCGGCCCGCAAAAGGCCATCGAGGCGCTCAACAAGCACCTCGACACCTTCTACCAGGACCCGGAAGGATGGCAGGAGCTGGCAGAGATGTACGCCGAGCTCGGACAGTGCGTAGCCCCCACCCACCTTCATCCCCATCCTCTGGCCTCGCGGCTCGGATCGTATCCTCGAGATGCCGGTGCGAGCCCAGTCGAACCGAACACTGACCGGTGCAAGCGCATTTGCATGCCTGAACTTGTCTGCGCAGGTACCAGCAGTCGGTGTTTGCTCTCGAGGAGCTCGTGCTCCTGGTGCCACAGAATTCCTTCTACCAGCTCAAGCTGGCAGAGACGCTGTACACGGCCGGGCACCTGGCGCGCAGCTACAAGTCCTACCTGCGCGTCCTCGAGATGTGCAAGAGCGACGACGGCATCGTCGACGGCAGCGCCAACGGCCCCTGGCTCCGAGCGCTGTGGGGGACAAAGATGGTGCGTCGAGGATGCACTCGTCGTGCTTCGGGCTGCTTGCGCGGACACCGACTGACTGACGAAAGGCTCGTTGCCCCTTGACCCTGCGATTGCTCTACCACTCCAACCGCCGTCCCGACTCCCCTCGCAGTGCACGTCGGCGATTCTCTCGCAGCCCACTCACCTCTCGAACCGCGAGACGGCGACAATATCCAGCGCGGGCACCGAGGACATTTCGCTCGACAAGGTCAAGGCCATCGACCAGCTCGTCACCAGGCTGCTCCTCGAAAACGTCTACTCGCCCGCCCTCTCGGCCCAGGGCACCGAAGCGGCCAAGACGGTCCGCGACGTCGTCAGAAAGGTGCTCGCCGCTGCGTGAGCCCTCGCGCCGCGTTCGTCCTCGGTCGTGTGGGTTCGATGGAAGAGTGGCCGCGGTTGCGAATCGTATACCTTGATCGATGAGGCGTGCAGAGTGACAGCAGCCAGGTGCCCGGCGCTCGCGGGCATCCGTGGGACGAGCCGTGGGACGACTTGACGTTCGGACGCTTTGATGAAGTGGGGGCGGGTTGCACCGCTCTCGATGGGGCGGGGCTGCACGCTCCCGTCGTCATTGTGGTGGGACCATAGCCAACGCAACGTGGCTTGGCTGTGCGATGGTCCGGCCCCCACTGACCCTCTCGCATGCTCGCCGACGGCAATTCGGGGCGTCGTCAAGAGGGACAGAGGCAAAAAAGAGGCAAGGTATGCCCGGACACCAAGCAAGCGGGCGTTCCCATGGGTTGCGCTCGACTCATCCCGTCGTACCCGCGGCATCGTAGTGACGAGGCCGCTCGTCGACTCGTAGAGATCCCGCAACTTTAGGCCACCCACGCCTACCTCTACCTCGATTTCGGTCCCGGGGCGAAGCGCAGCCCCGAACGGTTGCACGACGTCGTGCGTATCAAGGTCATCGCCATACGGCTCGACCGATCGTCCTGCACACGCAAGCAAGGTGGGCAGCTCGTCGGCCTCTAATCGTCTCGTCTCGGGGCTGTTGGAGGGATCGCCTCGCACCTTGTCGTTCGTTTGCACCTTTCTCGATCTGTCGTCCCCTCCCTGCCGAGGCGAAGGGGAAGAGGGATATAAGGTCAGGTCGTCAGTCTGTCTCGACTCGTTCTTCGTCCCCCCATCCCAGTCCCTCTTCCTCTCCCTCCCATCATAACTCCCTCGCCATTCCTCAAGACGAACACTCACGGCATCTCGACCCCCCATCCCCGCACATCAACCCTCCTCGTCCGTCCGCCTGTCCGTCCATTCGGGACAAGATGCGCATCTCGTCTACCCTCATCGGCCTCGCCCTCGTCCTGGCGGGCTCGCAGGCCGTCGTGGCCGTCGCCGGTGAAAAGCAAGTCGAGCTCGGTGAGTGAACCCTGCCTTGCGCACCCCGCCACTCGCTCTGCCGATGTCGTGGCTCCCAGCGATCAGGAGTTGTCGAAACGCCGTGACCGTTGTTGACCCTGGTCGCTCTCGCCCTTCGATGGCCAAACAGGTCGGCGACAGCTTTCCATCCCCGTCGAGGCCGGCGCCGGTGGTTCTGTCCCAAGCGGAACCGCTGGTTGGGGAGGTGTCGCCGGCCACGGCGGTGTAGCTGGCTCTGGCGCTATCGGTGCCGGCGTCGGTTTGGGCGTCGGCGTCGGCGTCGGTGGCGCAGGCATTGGAGCTGGCGCTGCCGGTACCGGTGTCGCTGCCGGTGTCGGCGGCCATGGCGGCAACGGTGCCGGCCCTGGACCCAGCGCAGCGACCGAGCACGACGAAAACCAGGGCAAGGCTGACGCAAAGGGCGGTCACAAGGCCGAGGAGGCGCCCACGTACCCTCTCGACGACGTCTCGTCTCGGATCCAGCTGGACTGGTCCGCCAAGGCGAAGGGCAAGCCCTCGGCGGCGATCAGCGAGGGCGACGACGGCAAGGTCGTCGTTAGGCCGCAGGAGCTGCTGCAGATGCCCGAGTTTCAGGCCTTCCTCGAGGCGGTGCTCGAGGACCCCAAGCTCCTCGCCCAGGTCGCGCAGCAGCAGGGCATCCCCCGACGCCAGTATGCCGCCATGATTAAGCAGATGATCCAGGACCCGCAGGGCGTCGCGTTCCTCTTTGACCCTAGCAACAAGGGTGGCGATGCACCTGGCGCAGGTGCCGGAGTCGGTGCCACGGCGGGAGCGGGCGCTGATGCGGGGGCCGCTGCTGGTGCTGGTGACGCTGGTCGAGCTGGTAGCAGCGCTGGCATGGCAGCTGGCGCTGGCGCTGGAGCCGTTGTCGGTGGCAACAACGGCGTGGGTGTGTACGGCCAGGAGGGCCTGCACGGCCAGGGACGCGGCAACGGCAACGGCCTGACGAAGCAGCAGCAGCAGCAGCAGCAGCAGCAGCAGTCATCGTCGACCAGCAACAGCAGCGACGACGGTCGTCACCCTGCAGTCGGCGGCAGCGGCATCATTGGTGTGCAGAAGCGCGCAGTGGGTGCGGGCGCAGGTAGCCAGCGCCGCATGGACAAGCGCCACCTTGCCAACAACCTGCCCCTCGTCGCTCGTGCCGCCGACCTGGTCCGGGACGCCGTCGAGGATCGTTTCGGTCCCATCCTCGCCTAGATTGCGCCCCGAAGGAATGGGCGGCCCCCGTGATCGCCCCTCCAGCCGTCAGACAGACGCCGGCGATGCAGAGCACCCCCGCTCTCTCTGCCAAAGTGCATGTACCCCCGTCGTCTCCCTTCAGCCGCAGCTCGTAGCGCCGCAACTCCATCCTTCCCGACCGTCCGTCAAGTCGAGGCTGTCGGGCCTCGTGTCGTGCGTGCGTGTGGCCGCGATAGGGCGGATGCGGATGCTGTGACGATCGATGAGATGGGATGGGATGAAGAGTGCGATGCGACCGATGCGAGGACCCCGTAGTCTATCTGGTGCTCCCTGGGCGGCGCACCCGCTAAGCCGACTTGCCCTCCCCGCCATGCTCAAACGCCTGGGCTATCAGCTGCGACACGGCGCCCAGGTAGCCGTCGTTTGTCTCGTTGCGGAAGACTGTGCGCGGCAGAGCCGGGCGAAGGGACGCGCAAGACCTCCTCGTCAGCTTCGCAGCCTCTCGACTAGCCGCCGCAACAGAGTAGGGGCCGAGCGCACTCACAAAAGAGGAGGCTCTCGCTCAGCCGCAGCACCTCGTCCTTGGTCAGCGAGGGTCGTCCGTCCGAGTGCAGCTCAAAGAACCACTGGATGTTGGCCATCACGTCGTCCTGGTTGAACATGACGGCGTCGAGGCCAGACACGATATCCTGTCGCGCGGCACGAGGGCGCAAGGGGAAGGACGGGGCAGCGGTGTGTATCAGCATCCCAGATCTCCTGCCTGGCCGATCAATGGACCGCACACACGGGCGCCGCCACGTACCTGCAGCGAAAGCGTGCCCTTCTTCTCCTTGTCCCAGAAGCGGAACAGCCTGGCGACCGTCTCGTGCTCTGGCACCTTTCTCTCGATGCGCTCCTGGAAGCCGTTTGAGACGATAAACTCGTCGCGCGCCCACGTCGCCACCTCGCCGAGGAAGAGGCGGAATGTCCGGAGGTCGATCCGCATCTCCTTGTAGTCCGGCTCGCCCGCCGACGAGACGGGAGGGGCGGCCAGCGCCTTTTCGAGCACCTCTTTCGGGTCGTTGGCCACGATGCCCGCGTTTGGATTCGAGGCGGCCGTCTTGGCGTCGCCCGCAAAGCCAGGTGCGTGCCGTGCGCGGTAGATGGCCTCGACGACCTGGTCGTAGATGAGGCCACTGAGGGCACAGACGCCGCCGCAGCAGCAGCAGCAGTGCGGGAGTCGGGAGCAAGGAGAGGGTCTGGTCTCAGCATCCGCCTCCCTTTTTGTCTTCGCAGTGCCCTGCTGCACAGGCGCAACTCACACCTGGTCCTTCGTGAATCGCCCGTGGTCCTTGAGGTTGCGGATGGCGCTGCGCTTGGCAAAGAGCTCGAGCTCCTGGACAATCTCCTGGCGGAACCGCCTGCGCTCGCTGGCGATGGTCTCGTCGGTGATGATGCCAAACTCGCGGAAGGCGACGACGAGCAGCTCCTGGAAGTTGGTGATCTGACGGTGCCGCGGGTTGGGGCTGTTGGGGTGGGCGCTGTCGCCGAGGGAGCGGAAGTAGGCCTTCATCAGGTTGATGAAGGCGCCGTCGTCGCTCACCTTGAGCAGCTCCTCGCCGTTGATCTTGAGGATGGCGAGGCCGACCTGGAAGAGCACCTTGGGCCCCATGGCCATGAAGCAGTCGAGGATCCGGAACGCAAAGATCATGGGCATCGAGTTGATGTAGAGCGACAGGAACCACGGCAGCGACGCCACCGACAGCTGGATGTCGGCCTTGACAAAGTGCTCGTGGATCATGGGCAGCGTGCGCTGCACCAGATGCTCAAACACCTTTTGGTCGAGCAGCGTCCCGGACATGGATTGGCTGCGCGGAGGTGGCAAGCGGCGGCGGCAGTGGCGGTGGCAGGCGGAGAGACAGTGCCCGTCGAGACGGTCAGCATGCCGTCTTCTCGACTGGCGAGCCCGACGCGCGACAGGCACTCACGTGTAGTATCCCGGCAGCAGACGCTCGCAGAGCATGTCGAGCAGCCAGAAACACTGCTCCTCGCTCATGTAGATGAGGATGGCGGCGACGACAATGTTCATGGCCTGGCAGTAGCCGAGCTCCGGATTTTTCCAGCTGTAGGCGACCAGCACGCGGCGCAGCGTCTCGATGCCCTCGGGCGTCTGGTAGGCCGGGTACTCGGGCAGGCTGCGGTTGAGGTCCTTTTCAATCTCCTCGGTGCTGGTGCTGACGACGCCGTCGTACTTTTTCAAGAGCGCCTCGTACTCGCCGGCGTGGGCGAAGCGGTTGTAGATGGAGCCGCTGGTGAGCTCCCACACCTCGCCGCGGAGCCGGTTGGGCAGGCCCACCTGGACGAGCCGGAGGAACTGAGGGTAGCGCAGCAGCGTGAGGTTCCTGCCGTGCGCCCGAAAGTAGTCGCGCCACAGCTTGACTTTGCTCTTTTCCCGCAGCTTCCTCGGGTCGCCGGGGAAGCCAAACGTGGCTCCAAGACCCGCGTGGTACGGCGGCTTCTCCTTGGCGTTGGCATTCGGCGCCGTCGACGCTGCTGTTGCCGGTGCCGCCCCTGTCGCCCCTGCTGCTGCTGCTGAGGAGGACTCGGCTTCGCTCTTCTCTGAAGCAGGTGTGGCTGCGGTGGCAGCGTCTGGGTTGTCGGGCTCCTGCGAGGGCGTCTCTGCCTTGTCCTTTTCGCTCTGCTCTGCGGCGGGGGTGGGTTCTGTCAGCAGCGTCTCGCTGTAGCAGCCTGCGAGGAAGGGCTTGAGCAGCTTCATGTTGCCGAGCTGGGCGCGCAGCTGGTCGCGGAGGACGCCGCAAAAGGCCTCGCATGTGGGCCGGAGGGCGTTCAATTGAAGGATCTGCCAGGGCGGAGGGGGATCAAGCATGACGACGAGACGCTTCGTCAGCCTCTTTGAGCGGGGCACGCGTTCACGAGAGGGTGGGACTTACGATCTTCATGCCGTGCCACACGACGATGCTGAGGGCAAATACGGTTCCCTTTGTGTTGAGCCTCTCCACACGCCTGACGCACCAGAGCGGGAGGTTCATCCTGCAGCTCCTGCCGCGGTCGCCCTGGCTGGCAAAGCATAGAAAGGACTGGGTGAGGGTGAGGCGTCCGGCGTAGACCTGCTCCTCTTGCGCGCCGTCTGCGGACGATGCCGAGAGCGAGAGGACGGCAGAGGAAATCTCTGCATCGGGGATGGGCGTCTCGCCGGCGGGCAGAGAGAAGGCGTGGGCAAAGAGCTGGGTGCGCGTGGGCGAGCGGTGGTCGCGCAGCGAGTGGGCGATGGTGGACATTGTGACAGAGCAGAGGCGGCGGTCAGTGCTAAGACGGGACGAGTGAGCGAGCAGGTGGATCCTGGCGAAGGCGGCGAGGGCGTCGGCGCGCTTAAGACCTGCTTGCCATGACCCGGATGCGGTGAGGGCAGAGTGAGCGTGGGCGAGCGTGCGGTGCGTGTGGCGGCGATGGTTAATGTTTTTTGGCGGATGTTTGAGGTGCGATGGTGACGAGGCGATATGAGAATGGGAGAGAGAAGGAGACGGAGACGGAGAGGGAGAGGGAGAGAAGGAGGAGAAGGAGAGTGTGTGGGTGGTGAGAGGGCCCCGCCCGCAGTCTCGCACGGACTCCACTTTTGGCCATGCCCCCACGCTGGGCTGGGTCTGGCTTGGCCTGGCCCGCTGCCCGCTGCCCGCTGCCTCTCTCTACGGGAGGCTAAGCCTCCCCCTCGGATCCGCGCGAATTTTTGGGCAACCTTCCAGCCAGGGCCCTGCGCTCTCTCTCTCTGTCTCTCCCTCGCCCTCGCTCTCGCCCTCGCCCCCTTTCTTCGCTCGCCACTGCCCTGCTTCTCTGCCTGCTCATCCTTTCATCCCCGCTCACCGCGCCCTCCCCGCGCAACCGACCACCATGGGCAAGTCATCAAAGGACAAGCGCGACATCTACTACCGGCAGGGCAAGTCCGAGGGCTACCGCGCCCGCTCCGCCTACAAGCTGCTCCACCTCAACGAGCAGTACGGCTTCCTCGGCGGCGCCGCCTCGTACTCGCTCCACGGCACCTCGGAGCCCGTGTCGCCCACGCCGCAGCGCGTCGTCGACCTCTGCGCCGCACCCGGTTCGTGGTCCCAGGTGCTCTCCAACCGCCTCGCCGCCGTGCCCGACTCGCACCTCGTCTCGGTCGACTTGCAGGCCATGGCGCCCCTCCCCGGCGTCACCCAGATCATCGGAGACATCACCACCGCCTCGACCGCCGACGCCGTTTCGCGCGCCCTCGCCTCGTCCGGGTCAAGTTCCGCCTCATCTGCCTCGCCCGCCAACGGCAAGTCCAAGGCCAAGGCCAAGGCGCAGCTCATCGTGTGCGACGGCGCACCAGATGTCACGGGCCTCCACGACCTCGACGAGTACCTCCAGTCGCAGCTCCTCCTCGCCGCCACACAGATCACGCTGCGCCTGCTCGAGCGCGGCGGCACCTTTGTCGCAAAGATCTTTACCCAGCTGCCCCAGGCGCGCGCCGGCTGGGCGCAGAAAAACGAGCTGCACGGCGCCCGCCCGGGCACCAGCGGCGCCTTTCTCGCCAGCCAGCTGCGCTGCTTCTTCGACCGCGTCGAAATCGCAAAGCCCAGGAGCAGCCGTGTCGGCAGCGTAGAGCATTTCGTCGTCTGCCAAGGCTTCCGGCCCCCCGCGGGCCTCCCCGCCTCCGTATGCCCCGAGTCGCAGCGCGATGCCGCTCGGGGTAATGCTGCTCCCGCTGACGGCGACGACGGCGACGACGATGATGACGATGCTGTCCGCGAGGGGCTCGTCGAGCTGGTCGAGAGACTCAAGGGTGAGATGGCCGCCGTCCTCGGATACAGCGGGCCATCCGGCGCACAAGGAGGGACAGGCGCTGGCGCTGGTGCAGCCAACCCGAACCTCGTCAAGGTCGTCCCCTTTGTGGCCTGCGGCGATCTCAGTGGCTTCGACCAGGTGGCCTAGCCGCCATGCCCGGCGACCGACACGACCCTCGCCGGCCGCGGCCGGCGATGATACCTCCACAGCCGAGGCGTCAGCGACGACCACCAAATCCCCACCTCATGTACGACTATCCTCTGTAATTCTAGACGCCAGGCGCTGGCCCCCCTCTACAAGAACCTTCTATGCACCTCGGCAAGCCGGATGGCTCACTGCTGGTGCCACTTGGACACGCTGCTGTTTTCCCAGAACTCGCCCGTGACGCCCTTGAGGTCCTGGAGCGCCAGGTGGACGGGCGTGGCGGCGCCCTCGTCGATCGACTTGACGCCCCTGCCCTTGGTCATGTCGGTGTTGACGTCTGCGGAAGCGAGTGGGTTGGCGACGGGCGACAGACAGGTGGAAAGGGGCGGGTCAGCAAGACGAGGTCAACGTCACCCGGTGGGATGGATTGGAGAAGCTGCGCCGGCGACGACGACTCACAGCCGGGGCAGCAGGCATTGACGGCGACGTTCTTGCCTGCCTTTTTGTAGTCTGCGTCGAGGATGCGGGTGTAGGCGATGAGGGCGCACTTGCTGGTCGAGTAGGCGGCCGACTTCCAGCCCTTGTCCTGGCAGTGGCCGTTGCGGACGTCGGCCTCGTAGTCTGCGACGATGGCGTCGACGTCGGCCTCGGTCTTGGCGTCGAGGAAGCGCTGGGTGACTTCGGGGCCGTAGCCGCGCAGGATGCCGGCCATGGAGGCGACGTTGACGATCCTGCCGCCGTCGCGGACGGGGATCGACTTGATGACGTGCTTTGTGGCGTGGTAGTTTGTGGCCATCGTGTTGCGGATGACGTCGGCGTCGAAGCCGTCGAGGGCGATGCCGGCGTTGTTGATGAGGACGTCGATGCCGCCCTGGTCGGCGTAGCGCGACTGGATCTCGGCACTGGCGCGCTTGATCGATTCCGGGTCGCTGATGTCGAGCTGGAGCGGGGTGATGGTGACCTTTGCGGCGGACGAGGCCAGCTCCGAGAGGATCGAGTCGCGCGCCTTTTGGCCGTTGTCGAGGGTGCGGGAGCCGAGGAGGATGGTGAGGGGCGAGCCCGATGCGCCGACGGCCGACGACGGGTACTCGTTGGCCAGGCGGCGGACGATGCCGTAGCTGTCGGGGGGTGAGGCGAGCGACGAGGCGGAGTGCAAGGTGCGAGGAGAGGTAGGGAGCAAGAGACCGTCAGCGAGGCGCCGGATCGTCTGCGGGGACGAGGCGTCGAGAGGATGCTCACCCGATGCCCCTGTTTCCTCCGGTTACAAGTGCGATGGTCATGGCGGTGTGGTGTGGTGTGGTGTGGTGTGGTGTTTGGCTGGTGGAGAGGCGAGAGCAGTAGCGATGGTGGTGGTGGTGGTGGTAGAGGAAGCCGTCGTGGTGGACACGGGGTGAGAGGGTGAGTCTTTGCCAGGAAGAAAGGGGTCAGGCAAGGCTTGACGACGCCTCGGTGGCTGCCAAACGCTGCTGCTTACCTGGGTCGATGTGGCCCCCCAGGGTCCAGCCGGCGGGGCGAGGCCGAGGTAGGCCGAGAAGCGGTCGGTGGCCGCGGGGACGCTGGCCTGCAGTCGCAAAGTGGAGGCAGAGGGGAGCGTCAGGCTGGACTGACGTCGGCTGCCACGACGGCGCGCCTCGTTGCGGTGGTTTCGGTCCTGGACTGACCTCGCTCATCGCTGCTTGGCTTCTCCTCTCCTCGCCCTCCCTCGCCCGCCTCGCATCCAGCCGCCAACCCCCAACAGCCTGCCTCCTCGATCTCGTAGACCACATCGGCGTCTTCTCGCAAACCCGCGCGCAAGCCCAACCCTCCTCATGGCCCATCGACGCCTGCCTTCGATCCTCGGGTCACCCGTGCCAACCTGGCGCAGCATCCAGGGCTCCAGCGCCTCCCAACGGTTGCCGTCCCAGGCCATCCGCCCCCTGCGCACCTCTTCGGCCCCGCGCGCAACCTACCGCCGCTTTGGTCAGCCCGCCCCGTCGTCGTCGCCAGCACCACCGCCGCAATCGCACAACGCTGCACCAACGCCACTCAACCTCCAGACCTTGCAGGACATCCTCGTCCAGCGCACCCGCGCAAACGCCGGTGGCGGCGGAGGAGAAGGAGGAGGCGGCAACCGTAGACCGCGCGGCAGGGGCTTCCAGTCGCGACCCACGCTCCTCTTCGTCGTCGGCGGCGGCGCGGGCGTCTACTACCTCGTCCACCTCGAGCGCGTCCCCGAGACGGGTCGCTGGCGCTTCATCGACGTCAGCCGCGAGCAGGAGGTCGCCATGGGACAGGATTCGTACCGCCAGGTGCTCCAGCAGTACCGCGGCAAGATCCTGCCCCCCAACCACCCGCACAGCCGCCATGTCAGAAAGACGGCAGAGAGGATCATCGCCGCCCTCGAAGATGGTCAGCACTCGGACGTCAAGCACGGCTCCGTCGACGCCGCCCTGGGCAGCAGCGGCGGCGGCGGCGGCGAGTCGAGCTTCTTTGGCGCCACTGCCTCCGACGGCGGGCCCCGGCCAAAGACCGACTGGGAGTTGTTTGTCATCGACGAGCCGTCGGAGAAAAACGCCTTTGTGCTGCCGGGGGGCAAGGTCTTTGTCTTTACCGGCATCCTGCCCATCACGGCCAACGACGACGGCCTGGCCACGGTGCTGGGCCACGAGGTGGCGCACCAGGTGGCGCGCCACAGCGCCGAAAAGGTGTCGGGCTACAAGGTCCTGATGTTTGGCGCCCTCGTCCTCGAGTCGCTCCTCGGCATCGACGCCGGCCTCAGCCGCACCGCCCTCACCCTCCTCCTCTCGCTGCCAAACAGCCGCAAGACGGAGCTCGAGGCCGACCAGATCGGCCTCTCGATCATGGCAAAGGCGTGCTACGATCCGCGCGAGGCCGCCAGGCTGTGGCAGCGCATGCAGCAGTCCGAGGGCGAAGGCGGCGGCGGCGGCCTGGGCGACGCGGCAAAGGCACTGCTCTCGACGCACCCGGTCAGCAGCCAGCGGATCAAGAAGATGCAGGAATGGGTGAGTGTCGAGTCGACGGAGCGAGGGCGGCGACGCGGCGGTAGGACTAGTGCTCGAATGGCGACGGTGGCTGACTGGCCTCGACCCTCTTGGATCTGCACCTCGTTCTTGCTCTGCCCCACCTCGTCCGGCCTTTCCGGCGCACCCGCAGCTTCCCGATGCCATGTCGACGCGCTCGCAGTCGGGCTGCCCCAACCCAGACGACGTGTCGGGCTTCCGCAGCGTCGTCGGAGGGTCGAGGTTCGGCAGCGCCTTTGGGTAGACGCTGGAGATGACCGCGAGAGTGCGACGTCGGACGCCACCGCGTCGTTGGATGGAGCGGGATCGACGTGGCGTCTCGCAGCCCGCCGTGGACCTGTCTGTACTTGTATCTGACCCGACTCGCCCTTCAGCCGCGAGGCAGAAGAATGACAAGAAGCCAGCTTCTGGGGCTAGACCACGTATTGCCCCGCGCTGTCGAACCCTCGTCGGGTCGTGGGATCGGCGAGAGACGAGATCGATCTGGGCCATGAGTGAGTCGCGGTGGGTGCGGGATCGGTGGAATCGACATGTCGACGCGATAGAGGCGAGGCCAGGCCAGCAGGGCGAGGCGGGGCGAGGCGAGGCAAGGCGAGAAGTCGGCGATCAAGGCGATGTGGACCTCCTTGCGCCGAGGCGCAGACAGCCAGCGGCCTAGGCTAGGCTGTGCCACCGCTGCCACGGCTGCCCTCGCGGCGGTGGTACCGGCAGCGCGATATCCAAGTGAGCCTCGACTCGAGCCGGCTTGCGGCAGGACCATCGAAGACCGACTAGTCGGCTTCTCCTGGCCATACATGTAGCAGGCTGGCCGGGCGGCGGTGGCGCGTGATGGATGGTGTTGGACGGGCCGACGGGCAGGCCAGCCAGCCTGGCCATTTCAAAGTCAAGGCCAGCAGCCAAGTCAAGATGAAATCGAGGCAGGGGGGCCAGCTTGCTTGCTTGCTTGCTGGCTTGCTTGCTTGCTTGTGTTGCTCGTCCGACCGCGACTTGAAATTCCGAAATGCCCGGCGTGCGGGGGAGGAAGCAAGTTGGGCTCGAATACAAACCGAAGTTGTGATGCGTGCTTTTGAAATTTGTAGTCGACGCGCTGGCAGGCTTGAGTGCGAGGCGGGATTTCCCCTTTTGCCGCGAAGCGAAATAGGGAGCTCGGTCGAGCCAGCCAGCCAGCCAGCCAGGGAAAGCCAGGCCAAAAAGGTGGGCGGCCCAAGCGGCGGGCGGCCAGGCTCAGCAGGCGAGGGCAGCCAAGCACGGCAGCCAGCCAAGACGGGCAGCAGCAGGCGGCCTAGCCCCACCTCTCTGCGGGCGGCAGGCCTGGCTGCGTGCGTGTGCGCCTGCTCTCACCTCCTGGCCCTGGCCCTGGCCCTGGCTCTGCCTCTGCGTGGCCCACGCTCGCGCCCTGCCTCGAGTCTTCTCGGGCCACCTCTTTGCCTTTCTCCCTCTTCGTGCACGCCACCCTTCGCTCGTCCAATCGACCCCGTTCCACCTTGGCAGCCACCTTCCAACTGAACCCTTTCCGTCGCTCTGCCACCCCCATACCATCGCGCCGCCGCTGGTCCACGCCCACGCCCGTCTGTCCTCGCCTCGTCTTGTCACGACTCGCCCCGCCCTGGCTCTTGTCCCACCACCAGTCGGACCCCTCTCCCCCCGCCTCACGACGACGACGACGACGACGACGGCCAACGAATAGCCACCCTTGGCCCGTCTTGACCCACCGGCACGAACACATTCACGTCTACGACGACCGACCCTCCGGACCTTAGGCAAAGAGCACTGCCGTAGTGCAAAGACCAAGAGAAGGCAGCAGCAGGCTGGCTTGCACCCACTCCCCCGCATATTTCCCTCGTCCTGCCTCGCTCAGCGGCCATCGGCTCCTTCCATTTGCTCCCATCAACCCACTGCACTCGACTCAGCTCTAAGGCCATTCTTGCCGAAGCCGTCCTCGACAGTCCGGCCACCGACCCCGTCAATCCGTCCTAGCGCATTCTCGGCCAAACACTGCACTGCACTGGCCCCTTCCGCCCGGCACCACCACCTGCGCTATTATCGCCACTCGCACCTCCGCTCCATCTGCTCTGCCCGCCCCCGCCGCAGAGCGTGGCCTGATCAGACGCCCCCCCGCCGTCGATCGCAACAGCGTCGCCCCCCTCGCCGCCCTCCCTCGTTCCCCCGGCGTAACCTGACCCTGCTCCCGGACCCGGTCCCCTACCGCCGCTCACCTCTGCCCGCCATGGCCGCACCCCAGCCCACCGAGAGGCAGCAGCGCCTGGTCAAGGCCATTGGCCAGATCACCAACAAGCAGGTGGTGCCCGAGATCGACTTCACCGTCCACACCACCGACGACGGCACCCAGGTCTCGACCCAGGAGCGCGTCATCAAGGACGTGCAGGCGCCCGCGTTCCAGAAGCCCACCGACGAGCAGTTTTTCAGCGCAAAGGATCCGTCCAAGCCCGACATTGCCTTTCTCAAGAACCACTTTTACCGCGAGGGCAGGCTCACCGACGACCAGGCCAAGTTTATCCTCACCCGCGCCACCGAGGTGCTGCGCCAGGAGCCCAACCTGCTCGAGGTCGATGCGCCCATCACCGTCTGCGGCGACATCCACGGCCAGTACTTTGACCTGATGAAGCTCTTCGAGGTGGGCGGCAACCCGGCAGAGACGCGCTACCTCTTCCTCGGCGACTACGTCGACCGCGGCTACTTTTCCATCGAGTGCGTCCTCTACCTCTGGGCGCTCAAGATCTGGTACCCCGACACCCTCTTCCTGCTGCGCGGCAATCACGAGTGCCGCCACCTCACCGACTACTTCACCTTCAAGCTCGAGTGCAAGCACAAGTACTCGGAGGAGATCTACGACCTGTGCATGGAGTCGTTCTGCGCGCTGCCGCTGGCGGCCGTCATGAACAAGCAGTTCCTCTGCATCCACGGCGGCCTGTCGCCCGAGCTGCAGACGCTCGACGACCTGCGCAGCATCAACCGCTTCCGCGAGCCGCCCACCCACGGCCTCATGTGCGACATCCTCTGGGCCGACCCGCTCGAGGACTTTGGCCAGGAAAAGACCAACGAGAGCTTCATCCACAACCACGTCCGCGGCTGCTCGTACTTTTTCACCTACAACGCCGCGTGCCAGTTCCTCGAGCGCAACCAGCTCCTCTCGATCATCCGCGCCCACGAGGCCCAGGACGCCGGCTACCGCATGTACCGCAAGACCAAGACGACGGGCTTCCCGTCGGTCATGACGATCTTTTCGGCGCCCAACTACCTCGACGTGTACAACAACAAGGCGGCGGTGCTGAAGTACGAGAACAACGTCATGAACATCCGCCAATTTAACTGCACGCCGCATCCCTACTGGCTGCCCAACTTTATGGACGTCTTTACCTGGTCGCTGCCGTTTGTGGGCGAGAAGATCACCGACATGCTCATCGCCATCCTCAACATCTGCAGCAAGGAGGAGCTCGAGGAGGAGGACGAGGAGGACGAGATCCCCGTGACGCCGACGTCGACGTCGGAGGAGGAGGGGAGCGCCGAGCGGCGGGCCGTCATCAAGAACAAGATCCTGGCCGTGGGGCGCATGTCGCGGGTGTTTGCGCTGCTGCGCGAGGAGGCGGAGCGGGTGTCGGAGCTCAAGGGCAGCCAGGCGACGGGCAAGCTGCCGTACGGCACGCTGGTGCTCGGGTCCGAGGGCATCAAGGACGCCATCGCCAACTTTGACGACGCGCGCAAGGTCGACATTGAAAACGAGCGGCTGCCGCCGGACCTCATCGACGCCGACGAGGCCGGGCCCGCGTCGCCCGCGGGAGAGGGCAGGGTGTCGTCGCCGTCGATGGACGACTTTTCCGGATCGAGCACCACGTCGCCGACGGCGTCACCCAAGACGCCCAGCTCGCCCATGGCCGGCGGCCACCGGAGGGGCCACTCGAGGTGCGTATTAGGGGGTGGAGTGGAGGGGACTGTGGCTGCGTCGGCCGGTGCGTCGGCCGCTGCGGGCTGCGGATGTCGGGCCGTTGCTGACTTTCCTACGAACGTCTCTCTTGCCCCTTGTTCCCTGCCACTCCCTGCTCGATCGCCCTTTGTCCCGTTTTCCTGCACCGCACCGCAGAACTTCGTCGCTGGGCACGACGATGTCGTCGCCGTCGAACCGGCGCCGTTCGCTCGAGTCGACGGTGTCCATGATCCGGGAAGCGCTCGAGGGGGGCGACGGCGCCGAGGACAAGTCGCTCGAGAAGCTGGCAAACGACATTTCGTCGCCCTCTTCTCCGAGAAGTCGCAAGATCGAGACGCTGCCCGATGCCTGAGCCGCCTCAGAGGGGGGCTTTTGTTTTGCCCGCCACGTCTGCCTCGTCTTTGCGACCACGGCGGCACGAGGCTAGGCGAGGCGAGGCGAGGCGGAGAAAAAGGCGGAGAGAGAGCGAGAGAAAGGGGGAGAGAGGGAGGCGCGGGACGATGTCGTCGGCTCTGTATCGAATCGTTGGCATGTGTACAATCCACACGGTACCGCATCGCATCGCACCTCACCGCATCGTGTCGTCGTTTGATCCTGCGTCTGCCCGTCAAGGAGTGAGGGCGGACGTGTGAAGTCACGTGGTCGTCGAGCCGCAGGACTGGCCTGGCCTGGCATGGCGCCCAGGGTCAGGAAAGGATGCACCGCTCCCCGCCCATGTCGGTGTCATCGGGGTCAGGCTGAGCGGCGTCGGGTCGCGACTGCTGCGGTCTCAAGGGCGAGGGATAGCGATCGGGGGTTGACGGCGAGGATCTAGATGAGCCGGGTCCGCTGATCGGCCGGTGAATGCCTGGCCAGGCCAGTGTGGACCGATCGGGCATCTGGCAGGCCTTGCCGAAGCGTGCCGACTACCCCGATTCCAAATCGGGCAGACCAGATCACCGACTACCGGCTGAGCGAGTCAGACCAAGCCATCCGGGCAAAGGCAGGGGCCGAGGGGCAGAGGCGCGAAGGGTCGGTTCGTCGGCCATGCCCGAAAACCCGTCGGTTCGGGGCGGTGAAAAACGGCCAGTGGAGGCCGAGGACCGCCCGCAACCCAGACCAAACCAAGCAAGCAAGCAAGCAAGCTAAGCGGCGGTTCGGAAATTTTTCTCTTCTTGATTGGCCTGGCCTGGCCTGCCCACTTGCCCTGCCGCCCGTAATTTTCAGCCCCAGCAGACCGCCGCCGCCGCTGCCGTTGGTTTGAAATCGACGGCGTCTTCGCCGGTCGTGCTCGCAGGCGCAGGCCGCAGCGCCCACCCAGCCTGGCCGGCCGGGCGCACAAACCGACAGCCAGCCAGCAGCGCACCGGGTCGTCCGACCGAGCGACCGACTTTTAACCGCCCAAGGAGTCAAAGCCCAGGCAGGGTCGAGTTGGGCCGCGAAATCCCCCGGGGCCGTCGTACCGTATGTGCTCTCTCTTTTTTGTTTTGGAGCAACCCGACCCGCCACCCGGCATCATGCTGCTGCTGCTGCGCTGCGAGCGACAGACAGAGAGGCAGTCGATTGATTGGACTCTGATAGCGACGATATCGCGAGGGCCCGCGCGCCAAAAGTTCGATGTCATAGGTACCGCCCGTCTCGACCGGCCGTCCCGAAGTCAGAGAGAGATCAAGTGACTCGGTCGCCAGCCAGGCTCTCTGCCAGATGCCAGAGAGAGAGACAACGCCCCGTGTGCGCCATCTGTCGATTGCAAACCTTGCCACGCCACGCCTGCCTACATGGCCATGCCCCGCCACGCCCACGCCCACGCCCACGCCCATGCCGTCGCTGCTCGTGGGCCAGGCAGGCCAGGCCAGGCCAGGCCAGGCACCGGCCCAAACTCTTTGCTGCGAGCCTTCTTCTTCCGGGGCGGGGCGGCACCACCTGCTGGTTGGCTGGCTGCCGGGATGGCAGGCCAGTTGGGGCGGGCAATCGCGACGAGCCGCACCCTGCCAGGCCACCTCTCTCTGCGACGCCGCCGCCGCCGTCGTCGTCTCCGAGCCAGCCTATACATATCCTTGTGCCCCGCATCCATCCTGCGCTCCTTTCCTTCCCTCCTTTCTCCACCATTACCCCATCTCGCCCACGCCTCGCCCGCATTCCTGCCCACCGCCGTCGCTAGATAGAGCGTCGTCGACGGCCCCTCCTGTGTCCCCTGGTCGGCCATCCGGACGTCTTCGTCCTCCTTGCCCCTTATCACTTAGACCGCCGTCCGTCGCCGCCGTCGCCGCCATGTCTGCGACTCCCTTTTCCGACATCTCGTACGCCGACGCCCTTCCGCGGGACGTCGAAAAGTCGAGCCCGGGCGCATCCTCGGACCGCCTCGACAACCTCAAGTCGGGCGTCGGCCACAAGGGCACCGACGATGGCCACTTTGACCCGCCGCCGCCCGAGCTGGGCATCGACCAGGACAGCTCCGACGGCTCCCTCCGCCGCAACCTCAAGCAGCGCCACCTCAGCATGATTGCCCTCGGCGGCACCATCGGCACCGGCCTCTTTGTCGGCCTCGGCGGCTCCCTGTCGGCCGCGGGCCCCGTCAACACGCTCATCGCCTACGCCATCATGGGCGTCGTCGTGTGGTCGATGATGATCGCGCTGGGCGAGGTCAGCACCCTGTTTGCCCTCCCCGGCGGCTTCACCCACCACGCCACCCGCTTCCTCGACCCGAGCCTCGGGTTCGCCCTCGGCTGGACCTACTGGTACTCGTACGGCATCACGATCCCCACCGAGATCAGCGCCTCGACCATCATCATCCAGTACTGGGACCCCAACCAGACCATCAACCCGGCCGTCTGGATCTCGATCCTCCTCGTCTTTGTCGTCGGCGTCAACTTCCTCGGCGTCCGCGTCTACGGCGAGCTCGAGTTCTGGTTCTGCCTGATCAAGGTCGTCGCCATCGTCGTCCTCATCCTCGTCGCCCTCGTCATCGACCTCGGCGGCGGGCCCGACCACGACCGCCTCGGCTTCCGCTACTGGATCAACCCGGGCCCGCAGGCCCAGCTCTTCTGGACCCCGGACCCCGTCACCGGACAGCCCACCGGCGGCATCAGCGGATCGTTCGGACGCTTCCTGAGCTTCTGGAACGTCTTTGTCCAGGCCGCCTTCTCGTTTGCCGGGACCGAAATCATCGGGGTCGCCGTCGGCGAAGTCGAGGATCCGCGCAAGAATGTGCCCAAGGCCATCAAGCGGGTGTTTTGGCGGATCCTGCTCTTCTACGTGCTGGCCATCTTTACCGTGTCGCTGACGGTGCCCTACAACGACCCGCGGCTGCTCAACGGCGGCGACGACGCCAGCGCCAGCCCGTTTGTCATCGCCATCCACAACGCCGGCATCCGCGTGCTGCCCGACATTGTCAACGCGGTGCTCCTCGTGACGACGTGGAGCGCGGCCAACTCGGACCTCTACGCGTCGAGCAGGACCATCTACGCCCTCGCCCTCGAGCACAAGGCGCCCGCGCTGCTGCGCCGGTGCACCGCCGGCGGCGTGCCCTACTGGGCGCTCGCCGTCACCAGCCTGTACGGCCTGCTGGCCTACATGTCGGTCGGCTCGGGCGGCGCCGAGCAGACGTTCAACTACCTCTACGACATCTCGGCCATCTCGATCATCATTGCCTGGATCATCATCCTCGCCGTCTACGCGCGCTTCTACCACGGCATGAAGCACCACGGCATCGACCGCCGCGAGCTGCCCTACCGCGCCCCCTTCCAGCCCTACATGACGTACTTTGGCCTCGTCTTCCTCAGCCTCGTCCTCCTCTTTGCCGGGTTCACCGTCTTCCTCAACGGCCAGTGGGACGCCAGCTCGTTTGTCACCACCTACATCACCATCCCGCTGTTTGTCGTCCTCTGGCTCGGCTGGAAGTACGTCAAGGGGACCAAGTTTGTCAGCCTCGCCGAGATGGACTTTGACACGGGCAAGCGCCACCTCGACGAGATCGACGAAAAGGCCCGCCTCGCCAACACCGCACCCAAGTCGGCCCTCCAGCGCTTCTGGGACTGGCTCATGTGATCGGCGTGGCTCCCCAGGCCTGCCCTGCCCTGCCCAGGCCTGCCCTGCCCTGCCCTGCCCTCTCGCCATCTATCGCGGGCGATCCCTTCTTCCCCTCGCCACGCCAAAAACGCCGTACGCTGCTCGTTCTTGCCTTTCCCATCGTGTATTCATACCCCACCTCGCGCTTTCTCTCTTGCAAACCGGACGGAACCCACCGATCCCAACGCATCGCATCGCATCGCATCGCCTGCCTGACCGTATCCAGCATGTACCCTTCAACCGCGCCTCGTGGTACACCGAAGGAGAGACCGAGTCGAACCGGCGGGTTCCCTTCACCTCGCCTCGGTCCGGCTCGCTGAATACCCCGGGCCAGGGGCGAGGGGCGAGGCGGGACGCGTCGTCACCTCGGCAACGTCCTGGATACCTGACCGGCCGGCCGGCCGGGTGGCAGGCAGGCACCCCCTTCCTCGACCGATTCCGACTGCCTCGCATCCTGATCAAACGACCGACGCGGGCGTACCAGGAACCCTCGCGTCTGCACCGCCACGTACCGCCTCCTCTCCCGGCCGTGACTCTACCACCTCCAGTCCTCCTCCATCGACGAGAACCTCCATCCCGCCCTCCAGCAACGTTTTTAATACTATATATGTGCAATACTTCAGAAAACGTTTCATGCGCGGCAAGATGGCCGAGTGGTCTAAGGCGTAGCATTAAGGAAGATACCGCGCCCCTGCGAGGAACGGTCTGCTATCTTCGGGCGTGGGTTCGAATCCCACTCTTGTCATACCTTTTTTCCTCCCGACCTCCCTCCCCGGATGGCCATCGCATCGCTGTGGAATCGTCGAGTTCGGCTTCATTCTCCGCGCTGGGATACAGGGTCATGGTCCTGACTGGTTCGGGAGATTAGAAACAAACATCATGTTGTTTATTTTGAGAAGTCCACAGAGAAGAAAGAAAAAAAAAAAAAAAAAAAAAGAAACAAATCGTCAGGGCAAAAAAGGAAAATGGACGGACGCTGGAAGCCAGCGTGCTTTGCGACACCTGTGAGATTCGAACTCACGCCCCATTTCTGGGATATCCTTGTCGTGCTGATAGCAGGGATACGCCTTGACCACTCGGCCAAAGTGTCCGAAGATGTCAGAAAGTCCCAGAATATAAAGTATAAAGTAGACAATGACCGATGTCGAGTGCTGTCCCGCACCATCGACCCGTCCCCCCCTCCTTCTGGGTTTGCGCTGCAAATGCATCAGAGGGCATCTGCTCGAGTCTACGTTAGTGTCCTGGTCACTGTCTTGCGAAGTTTCGAGAGTCAGAGGGCTGCGTGTCATGTTGATCGATGTTGGGAGGGGGGGGGGGAGTCGCTTCGGTGCCAGCTGCACGCCAAGGGCGTTTCGTACGGGCCCACTTCGAGTTCTACCCCAACGGTCCGGCTGGAGGAGGGTTGCATACTGCGCTGTGGCTGGAACGTATACCGTGCTCTTTCAGCGTGGACGCACAGCGGGTTGGCGATGTTGCCCCCCACCCGAACTTGGGGATCTGTGAACGTCACTCAAGGCATTGAAACTGGTGGTGGTAGGCTGCGGCACCAAGACGATGTTGGCGGCAACTTGGCGGGATTCCAGGCCCAGATTGGCGGAGGCGCCACTAAGATGCCGCCAATGTCCCCTTGACGGCCTCTTGGCGGTAGTACCTGTCAAGTTGAGTCTCCAACCCCCCGACAGCCGCCAACATCATTGGAGGTCCCGATGGTCCCTCGGTGCAACTTCGGCGACACACCAGGAGAGCACGCTCGGCTGAGCTTGGTGGCAGTGCGTGTCGTCGAGTAGCCGGGTTTGGTGGCAGGGGTTATAAGCCCTCCTGACCGTCTTCCTCCTTTCCTTCCCCCCACCATCTCCCCACATTTCCTCCTCCGCACCCTGGCTCATCCTGCTGTCTTGTACGTACCTTCTCCCAAGTAGACATCGTTTTCCCACACCTAGCCATGAACAGCTGCTGACCTTGCTCTCTGCTCTTGGCCCCCCCCCCCCCTCTTTCTCTCTATCGCTGTGTCCTTTGCTCCCACCAGTCGTCGATGTGTGTGTTTGCTTTAGATGCCGTTTGTAGATAGGTGGTGGGCTGTGAGGGAATCGTGCCATTGTGCCGCTTGAACGATACCTGGTGAGGAGGCAGCGTGGGCAGAGCTGATCCAAGGTCGCACTGGCAGACCTGTCCTGCCAATTAGAGCTTGGCGTGTCCCGCCAAGGGCCCGCCATTGGGTCCATAGCGGGACGGCCGCCAAGAAGCATGCCAAAGACGTCTTGGCCAATGCGGCCAACTGCCACGAGTTTAATGCTTTGACTGATGACTTCTGGCATGCCCTCCCTCCGTTCAAGGTCTGTCGTGCCATCTCTCAATGACGAATTGAAACAGCATGAGGCAATGGAATGCCGAGACAGGGTTGCAGGGATGCGGAGTGGGTGGGATGAACGGTCTAGTATACACGAGATGACGATGAAGGAATGCAGAGCGGAACAAGGGCCGGTGGTAGGCTGAAGGCGAAAGGGGTGATGAACGATGAGCGAGTCGGGACGGCGGGGTGAGAGGGGGAGAGGAGACGGGCCTACCAGATCCGGGACCGGACCATGGTGTATCGACTGACGTCCATCAGCGAGCCCGTCTTTTTGTCCTTTCCACCCGCAGCGGCCGAGGAGGGCGAGGGTGAGACGTGTCTGCCATCCAGCATGATCTGGATGGCGTTGTCGTCGGATCGGTCGACGAGCTGGACCAGCTTCTTGTCGTACGACTGCCCCGAGCCGCGCGCACACAGATCAGAAGGGACAAGACGAGACGAGACGAGGATGAGTATTAGCGTGCGTTGCGTGGCCCACAAAGGAAGAGGACGTGGACGTTGCTCACCAGTTCGTCCTTGTCGACGCCGATCGGTGCGCGGTCCTTGCTGTTGAGGTTTTCCTCAATCTCGCGCTGGTGCATCGTTGCGTACCGGTGCGAGGCGTAGCTGACCAGGTAGGCGCCGAGGAGCAGCTTGACGGCCACGAGGCTGCATCGCACGGCGCGCGGGTGGGGGGTCACAGAGGATGAGGGGAGAGAGAGAGAGGGAGAGTCAGCCGCCGCGCCACGGCTGCGCCCGGCATCGGCCCACCGACCGCCCGCCCGACTCACAAGGTCCAGGCGATGACCAGGATCAAGGTCCAGGTCGAGGCGCGGACGACCATGTCGAGCCAGCGCACCGTCGTGCTGTCGACGTCGACCGACATGAAGCGGCTGGCTGCCGACCCGACCAGGCTGAGGTTGCGCGCCGCAGCGCCGGCGGCGGGCGGGAGGGCGCACTCGTCAATGTGGCTCGTGTCGCCGACCATGTCGAGCACCTGG